TGCGTGACTTTCGAAACTCGTTTTTTTGGAGTTGCACTTTACGCTAGGTGAACGATATGATTTTTTGGGGTGGGTATATATGATGATGATACTAAGCGAATGACTCTGGGTGTGTGTGTGTGTCGGTGTGTTTGTATGCGGGTGAGGGAATGTACTAATGTTTTTTTTTCTTATATAGCATATATAACTCTAAGCCTGAATGGGGGGTTCTGTCTATGCGAATTTCGACTACAATTTCTATTTGCTTTTCTTTTCGTTACTTCTTGGACTGCTCAGAAGAGAAGGAGTATGAATTAAGATTCGGCAGTTGATACAGAAATCTTTATATACACGTATATATATATATATGTATGCATTGTTGGTTCAGTTCATTGCATTTTCGTATGATTTGCATTTTCTGTTTCTTTTCGGTTGCTGTTCATTTCGGTTGCGGTGGTTTCGGTCGGGATGTAGTATGCCACCACCCATCCTGCGGGTCCCTCAAGGACCTTGGCTACCACGCTTTTCGTAGATACACAGTCAGGGATTTTTTTTATTTGGGGGTTGGACAGAGACAGAGTGATAGAGAGTCAAATAGAGAGAGAGAGCGAGCGAGAGAGATGCAGAGGGGACTCTGGAGAAAGGTTTAATTGCAAAAGCGATTATAGCTGGGGAATCATATATATAAGTAAAATATTCATAGAGTAAGACGAGTATGCAGGTGTACTGGAAGTATAGTTTGATAGTTTGGTTCAGGTACAGAAGTTTACAGTTGTCGAGCATTGGATTCGAGAGAGTCGTAGAGCGGGAGCGAAAGAGACAGAGAGAGCGAGAGCGAGAGAGAGATAGCTAGAGCTAAGCTAAGGTTAAGTGAATCTATATAGAGATAGAAGATATAGCTATGGCAGAAGATCTAGTCTGTGGGACGGCACTTGACTGAGTGCGGGTTCGTGCTATGAGGAGTTCTACTTGAGATTACGGAATATATATATATAGTTTACAAAGAGTTGATGACTAGCGCAGTTGTGATTCGGTTATAATTTCGGTATTTTTTTTTTTCGTTTGCAGCGCTGCAGCAGCGACGCTTTGGCAGATTCTCCAAGTCTCATTTTTATCGGGCAATCGCTAGTTGAGATTTGTGTGGCGGTTGTTCTTGTTGTTGTTGCTGGTCTACTGGATATAAAGCTACTATATCCCAGTTCAGTTGTTGTTGTTGTTCATTTGGGGGGTAGTGTGGCTAAGCTATATACACAAAACGTTGGATGCCAGGAGCTGAAGGGCCGGTGGTAGTTGGTTCTTGGTTCTTGGTGGTTGGCGATGAGAGCTTGGAGAACTTGTTAAGGCGGCGCTGCCAGCGCAAAGCGTAAATTTAAGAAAAAAATCAAATCATTGCTGTAAAATCGTAAGCTAGCTAGGAGAAGAGAAATAGAGAGATAGTTTTTCTTTTTTGTTTTTTTTTGCGGGGACTAAGAAACGGTTAGCAAAGTTAACAAAGTTGTTAGGGTCCTCTCGGTTTTTTTTTACTTCTTTATTACATAACCGCCCCAGCCCGAAAGGGGCGGGGCAGTCTCCCAGTCCTTCCCTTCGCAGCCCAAAGTACGTACCCAAATTAATGGCCAGGATCAGGAGGATGCTGCACAGCAGCCAGGATTTGCTGGAAGACTCCATGATTTTTCCACTTTTCACTTACTCCAGGGACATGGCTAATTTGCAATTTCGGGTTGGCTGGGCCCACGCCCCAAAAACTGTAGACACAAAAATTTCAGCCTTAAATCCAGGCAAACATCTTGAAAACATCACACTTCACCTTGTATCAAGCTTCTCTTGATTTTGAATATTTATTTTTCAATTCTTTGCTCAATTTTCACCAGAATTTTAGGAATTTTCCTTCCGAACTTTTCGTCTTGAGCTGGAGCCGTCAGTTTGGGTGCGGATTAAGAACTCTACTTCGGGATTCTGGATAAAAATCAATGGGATTCTGACTTTCTAGAGCGCAGCAGCCAAATCTGAAAAAATTGGACAAGGCGCAGGCGCAAAAAACACGGATAACTGAGAGGAAAAATGGGAAAGCTCTCTCTTATCAAGAGGTGTTTTCCGAAACCCACCCTTCGCTAATTTTTAGTTTGTAAACAAAAGCAGTTGGCCTTATCAGCTGTTGATGAGTTTTGTTTACATGTGCTTGGCCTCCAGGGTTGCCGCCCCCCACCAACAAAAAGTTTCCACCACAGTGATTGCGAAAAGTAAATGGAAGAATGCTTCCGCTATCTGATAATCTTGCTTTATTGTGTTATAAAATTTTTTAATTATGGCACAACACTTGGGCCTATAAATTAAGCGAGCAACAACAACAAAAATAATGAACAAAAGCCTCAAAAGGTCAAGTGGGCGTGGCATTTAATTCGTTATTTCATAGTTTTTTCCTCTTAATCGCCGGTGGGTGTCATTAGCAAAGCGCAGTTCCTCATGGCGCTTAAATGATTAAAATAATGTGCTCTAAAATGTTAAGGTTTTATAAAAGATTCAATGGTTTCAAGTACCCATTATTGGGCTGAATTTGTTCCAGTTATTTGATAATGCAAGCCCATTCTTTTATGGCTCTTTTATGGTAGGGCAATAATTTTGACCTTTTCGGTTTCCAACTCTCATTCAGCTGTCAGCACTTGTCTCAACCTTTAATTACATTTTGAATTATATTGCCAAATGGCTTGTAAGCTTCCGTGAATTGATTGATAGCTGCTCAATTTATTTAATCTAATAGGGGGGAGGTAAAAAACAAGTACAAGTGTTAAATGTATAGAGTTTAAAGATTCTCTGCACAGGAAAAACTTAAAAAAAAAAGAGACAACGATGAGTTGCCCAAAGGAAAACATTATACATGCCATATGTGTTATACGTTGAGCTAGACGTTTGGTAATGAAAGCATATTTTTACATTACTGATTTTTACAGAGTTACTGAAGTTGCCTGCCATGCACTACAAAAAATTGTATGACGTTTGAAGGGTTATTATATGATATATGATTATATATTATATGACGATCATATTTCCATTCAATAAAATATATGTAGCTGCAAAATTAAATATTGAAAAAATTATTTAAAAATACCCAAATAAATTTTTCTACCAGCTGCAAGTGATACATTTTGACTTGATACCTTGCAGTGAAAAACTATCGCTTTTTTCCGAGTGGATTTTCTTCGGCGTTTCTTTGGCTAGCTGGGGCTGATGATGATTTTCATGTGCGCATGACAGCGCAATACAATGCAACGAAAGACGAAAAACTCAGGCCACGAACGTGCAAGTTATGAGACATGCGGCTGCGCTGGGCAAAAGCCATAGCACCAGCAACATCAACAGCAAAGGCAAAAACACTAAGGTCGCCTCTAAAGCGCATAAAAAGCACAACTTTGAAGCCTTTGTGTGGCTCGGTTGGCGCAATTTGGGTGCCATTTTGGTGTCACCAGCAGTTGGAGGCAAGATATTCCCCTGGCCCGCTGGAGAGCGATAAAATCAATGGCAGCAGCCAACGCCAACGCAAATTACATCAAATTAATTTCTGTATCTTCATAAATTTTTAGTTAATCATTTCGCTGCATTCAATTGAAACACTTTGCTCAAGGTCGCCTTTTTAGCCATAGTTAGCCGCAGCGATCTACGTGCTCGAGATGGCCTAGAAAATGGTGGAGAAATCACCCAAAAACCCACTGGGCGGGGTCGTTATGCAAAGAAATATTGGTGAGAAGGCATGTCGCGGCATTTTTAAAATTTTTAGAGTGCCACTTCCACCTTATGATTCAATTAGTGTGTTTTGCTCACTCGCTTCTTAAACTGTCATTAATCATAAATGTGCAAAAACAATCCACAGCCAACAATCATTGTATGCAAAACTGTGTGTGAAAAAAACAGCCATTCTGCGCATAAGTGTAATGTGATATCATAAACATATTTGGATTGTTTGTGTCGAGATTCTTTTGTTTGTTTTCGCACAGCCAAATAAATTAATTAGCCGTTGGCTCTTTTTGGTCGATTCCGTGTTAATTTTTACACCCAAGAACAGGCGAAGAGCGTTTGCCAAAACAATAAAAGAGGCGAAATGAGCAGGCCATCGAAAATTGCACAATTAGCAGTGTATTTCTGCGGCTGATGCTAAAATGCATCGTAGTTGCTTTAGCAGTGGCGGTTGTTTTGCAATATTAAAAGTCCTCAACCATATTAACACTTTTTGGCAATGTTTTGCGGCGCGCCGCAGTCGAAAATTTGTGTCAAACTTTGAGTCTTCGAGGCAACAACAAACGAAAATCATGCGGCTAAGCGCACGACCGACAAAAAAGCAGTCAAAACACATAAATCTCGATGGCTCTACGATGACAAGCTCTCAATAGCACCGAAAATGGACGTGTCAATGGCTGAGGACAAAGCCGGTCCCATGAGGAAGTGCTACAGGTGGCACGAGTCACCTTCGACTTCCTTATGCCTGCCCCATGGGGCGGCATAAACAGTAACTCAAAAACCCGCCTCCAAAGGCCACAGTTATAACTCGATTTGAAAATATTAAATCGATTTTCAAGAGGAGCCTAAAAGCAGGAATTTTTCTTAGCAATACCAAATACTGTAACTTTTTACTACATCCCATAAGTAGGCAATGCTTTTTGATGGATCAAAAATACATGTAAGTAAAATTAGTTTTGGATGTAGCGTAGATATTATTATTATGATCGGGTGTAATGAATTCAGTTTGAAGTTTGCAACGCAGTTAAGGATACGTTTCCGACCACATAGTATATACATTCTTGATCACCATCGCTATAATGCACTTAATATAATATGGTTCCATTTCCTTAACTTATTACCCTTCTGAAAACCATTGTTTGAATTGTTTCTTGAAGAAATTAACCAAAATATTCAATTTCATATACAAATTAATAAAACAAACCCATTTTTCTTTCAAAACATCTCTTTTAAATATTTCATTTATTAAGAAACGTACAATTTAAGAATGTTCATAATTTTTAGCAACCGCGAGTCCTGTCCACCCATCCACTCACGGTCATAGTTGGCAAAATCAAAACTTAAAACTAGCACGCAGAACCTAAAAAAATACTACAGCAAACTTAGCTCTAACTAAAACAGAATTTCGTGGGCCATAAGCTATATACACAATGTGCTCAGAACAAGGCCAACATTTGGCCCATTTGCGCTTCATCAATCGATTTGTCCCTTGTGTGCTATGTAGGAGTCGTACAGTGAGGACTCTTTACGACGCTTTAGTCTCGAACAGGCAATGAAGAGAGTTACTGTTAGTATGCATAATACCGCTGAACAACCAGCGGTTAGCGCCGAAAATGTGGAGGTCTTCAGGCAGGTTTGGTGTGGCGATAAGGGTTTCGTTTGTCGATGGGCATAGACATCATCGCCATCAGTTTCACCCTCTTGTAGAACACGCAGCGACTGGAAGAGATTCACATTCTCGGACAGGGAATTGGCAGGTGGATTCTCCGTGGTTAGTCCTTCGCCATCAGAGGACAGTGGAGGAATGGAGATGTTAGTGGCTGTCATGTTGGAGGTATCTCGCTTGGTCACTGCCTTTAGATTTCTCCAGTGACATGGTTGGCTCTGTGAAAAAATATATATAATAAATGAATACATTATCATATTATCATGGAGATCATCTTTCAGTAAACCGCAATTAAATTGTAGCTTTCTTTTCAGCAATGAAAGAATATAAATTCTAAAGCTCTTATATACAAATATAGTATTTGGAAAATTACTTTTAAGTTCTATTGGTTGAATAGGTTCAATTATTCATCAGGAGTTTATAAGAAAATCTGAATGAACAAACAGTATTCAAAAATGTGAATCTTAAAGTTATAACTTACTGGACACCGCCCGTGGCACATCCGCACATCGCACTCGATATAGAGCGCCGGGGACCCAGTAAACCTGAAGGTCTTCATGTACGCATACACCTGGGTCTCGTACACTCCCGAATCCGACCAGGAGCCCCTGAAGCGTGAGATGAGCTTGTCATCCACCGGACAGCCGTGCTGATCGATGAGCTGTATCCGCTTGTTGGCGCCATTGTGGGCATAACAATCGTTGACCACTATGTCGAAGCCGTCTACGGATCGCAAGATCGTTATTAATAGACCAGTTTAGATGCTGAGATTAAATTCATTTACCATATTTGCTCCTCATGTAGATGATCAAGGTCAGGGGATCGCCCACACGCACTGGACCCGTCACTCGCGGACCTCCAATGCCATAACCATTCTGGATCTCCATATAGCACTCGGGTGGACTCAACGTAAAGACCACTGGATTGCCAGTAGCCACCCTAAAGATAAATATTAATATCTAAATCTATAACACCCACTTTCCATACTTACTCCACATCTAGAAACGGAAATGTCACGGTTTTCCAGAAATCATAGCCATACTCGCAGGTGACCTTGAAGTGCTCATCATACTCTTCTTCGATTAGTGGATTATACTGAACTGTTACAGTGTTCCACATAAAGTTCTAAAAGATATAAAAAGTCCTTGAAATCTAGAGATCAAGTTTAATGTTAATCATACGCACTGTGGGATTCTTGCGACTTTCTTCTTGCAGAGAATTTTTGCCCAGGGTTCCACATCGATTTAATTGAATGTAGAACTCGTAGTAATCTCTACCAGATCCATTGATGTACATGCAGTCCGGATCATAGGCATAACCAGCTGAATACAGTAAGCCACTGAAGGAGCCATTGAAACCAATGCGTATTTTCATGTAGTCATCCTGACATTCCGCTTCGATGTCTAATATAATATTTAAGATAGGTATATATAATTTAGATTTACAAAACAAGTATTCATTTAAATTCTTACGCTGAACCCTGGTTCCGTTGTGCTGATGCTGATGCCCTGCATATTCCTGATCCCAGTACTCCTCCTGCCACTTGCTGTTTTCATAGGGAGCTGCATGATATCCTCCACTGCCTGTGGGAGCTCCACTTGAATCCACTCCCGTAGAACCATAATCCAAATGCACAGGATGGCCAATACGATGGGGTATATAGCCAGAGGAGTCGGGCACATGATCTGGCTATTTTTTAAGAATTTTATAATTCTAAAGATTCTATAACATAACCAATCAAAACGTACCACCTCATGCTGCAGTTTGTTGCGCTCCACAGCATTGCTGCTGCGATTGCGCACATCCTTGGGGAATTTCTTAGGACCTGCTAGACCAGCTCTCTTGGACAACTTCGATGGCTGAGTAGTGGGTCCAGAAATATATGATTTTGAAGAGATGCCTATCAATTCCGGTTGCACATCAGATCCAGTGGCCAAGGGACGTGTGCTTTTCGAAGAAGGAGTTGTGGTCTGAATGCGACCTTTGAAGATTCGCAGTGGTGGCACCAGCGTGGGTGGTGCCGAAGTGGTGGTGGCCACACCCGCCTTTTTGCTAACCACCGAGTAGTCCGTGCTTTGTTCCAAACCACTGGTAAGATGCTGCAAAAATATACAAAAACGAAGAAGCGTTTAAAAAAGTGCGTACGGCGCGTGGGGCGTATACGCAATGCCATAAATCACTCGGTCGAGTTTGTGTCTCAAGTCTTTGGTTTTATGAGCCCGCGTAAGAATACAAAAAAACAGTAAAAGTGCTGCATCAGCAGCAATGGCAACAAAGCCACATAATTTTGGCCAGACAAAGCTTCTTCCGCTCGCGGTCGATACGCAATCTGCATTAGAGCAGAGCATATCCGTTAGGCGGACCGGCTGAACTGGCTATTGGCCAACGATTGGCTACGGTTCATGTGGCCTAATCAGGAAGTTCATGCTAAGAACTGTTAAATAGATTAGATTTCCCATCGGCCAGCCACTTGGGCAATCCCCTCCGTTGGGCAATCAGGCAGAGGTGAAAGGTGCTGTTCCTTACCTGCAACTGCATCAGCATCAGCATCATCAGTAGAATCGACCTGGGGAGCAGCCTTTGCTTGGGCAATCTGCACATCTTCATGTTCGTCACTCGACTGGCAGCTGCAAGAATAGAGATCAGGTCCCATAGGGGACCATTCGATATTATAGGAATGCGAATCGGTATCGTAATCATATCGTCATGCTTGGTGCTGCCCCACGGTGACCTTGCTAGTGGTCACTCAAGTGTTGTCCGCCGCTGGTTGGTTACACCAAATGCGTGCTGGCAGGAAGGAAGTTTGTGCTTCATAAATTAATTGTGGCCAATGTGCATGGATAGAAGATCTTGGCGATGATGGGATGCCCTTAACGTGATTTATGGCAGATCGTAAAGATAGAGGTCGTTACTGTATGGTTTCTATGGTCCAAGACTGTCTTAGTTAAGCTACTTGAATCAAGTAATGTTGTTGATATATTGTACTAAAAAATGTTTTTTTATAGGTCTACATTTGAGTTGTAATGCAATCTCAAAAATTTTATCATCTCATTATCTTTGTAAATGATTATTTACACCATCAACATTTTTATATGTTGTTAAGGTTTTTATTAAGAAAATGTAGTTTGACTTTTTTACAACAACAAAAAAATATAAAATAAAGAAGAGCTTATAAAACGGAACAAGTTGTTTGTGGATAAATTCCTAATGGTTTTCGGCATTCATTTCCTTGAGCTGGATTTAATCTAAAGATTGTCTATTAAATATGTTTTAAAGTCAAGGTATTCAGAACTTTACATTTAAGTAGGAAGTTATCTTTACATTAAGTATACCTTAGTTAAATAAATGAAATGTTCTTTGGATCATTTAATTCGATTTCAAGATAATCTCGATGTCATATCTCATTCTTCCTATCAAGCATAATGTTACTTCCGTTGGATCTCAAGCTATACCTCCCCCCCCCTATCAATGGGAGCTATTGCCAGAACAATGACAACTTTAGATACATCATCTTGTAACTACGTTCGTCTGGCGTTAAGGTCAAAGCCATAAAACTGTCACCCGTTGCGATGGTTTAATTATGGCCCACGCAGAACCCACCTGTCTAAGATTTTAGTCTGCGCTTAAACTTGGATTACGTTTTAATGAACGATATGATCCGCCCCCCTTCCTCCTCCGAAACAAATGATTACCCCTCGCCCACCAAAATGCTTGGCTGCCTTTTCGCTTAGCTGTAAAAACGCACGCCGTTTGCTTAATTGTTGTTATAATTACTTCAACTTCTTGTTGGTGTTTGTTTCATGTTTGTTTATTGTTTTTTCACTTTGCTTTTGTACCTGGCTACTGTTATGCAATAGTTGAAGTTGTTGCCGCTTCTTCTTCTTGGGTTTTTGGTCTCGGTTTTTGGCTTTCATTATTTGCCACTCGTGTTGCTGTTGTTCTTCTGCCTTTTGCTCCTACACTTGGCTTTTATAATTATAGTTAATCGGTTTCAACTGACCTTGAGCCGTTTTCCTTTGGCTGCATTAATTGCAAATAGCTAACGGTTCCAAATACGCTATTGGTAGGTGGTTAAACCGGTTTAGGTTTAGGCCATTGACAGTTCATCCTGGCAGAACTAAAACGAAGGGTTATGGTTGAGTCCTTGAAGATAGAACTTTAGAACCCAACCTTCTAAACTATTACTTTGAGCTTAAGACATTGCAAATAAAATTTGTTAATGGATTACTAATACCTATTTTAATGAAAGTATAAGCTTACTAAATCAAGAAAAAGCCTTAAATAGATAGTTATAAGAAAATTGTATCATATCACATCTCCTATATTTTATATTTACTTTCAAAAATGTATCCTATAAATGTTCTATTTTTACAACTTAGAAAAATCCTTTTTGAAGTCTTTCAAATAAAAAAATGATCTATGTATATGTTATTTATATACAAATGTGTCCTTCATATACAAAAATATTTGTTACAATAAAAACTAAATTGTTTTTGTGTTATAATATTTACAATTTTAAGGTCTCTCCTTTAAAAACTCACCTCTTTTGTAAAGAATCCTTCGATTTTAATCCCTTTAGCCTCTTAATTCCACAGCAGTTTTATCACTGACCTGCTCAACGTAACTAGGCTTTTCCAACGCGCTTTTCCGCAGATCACTGGCTTTTAGTTCACAGTTCACAGCTCGGCACGCACTTTGACCAACTGACACCGAAAAACTTGGCCCATTTCGGGGAGACTTAGCAAATCCTCGTGACGTTGGCCATAAAAGTTGACGATCCGGATCCGATGTTGGTCTCAAAACGCTACAAAACGGTTCGCACTGCTCAGTTTGTTTTTTTATTTTCGGGGTTTTGTCTCGGTCTCACTTTCGATAATGGTTTTTGATATTGCGCGATCTTTGGTTGGCAGCTTTTGTCGGGTTTTCTCGGCTACGTCATTTGGGCCGCTTTACATATTGCACGTCTGTTTGTTGGTTTTCCGTTTTCAGACTTTTTTTTTTGGAAGCCCGAAAAATCACTCAAGTGCAACTTGCCAAATAGAATCAGCCGCCAAGTGGGGGAGTTGGGCGAGTATGTAAGTGGATGGATGGATGTGTGTTCGCAGATTGCCTAATCTTACATAATAGTCCGAATGGAGTTCCGAGTACCGTTGCCGGTTGAATTTTTGAGTCTTATAACTTTTGCGGTCGCTGGTTTGCAGCTCTTCGCGATGCGAGCAGGTGTGAAGCCAAGCGCGGCTAGTGCGGATCTTTATAAAGTGTTCCTCCATCCATCCAAACATCCAGCTATCCGATGGGTTACACAGAGGAAAATCAACATTGTGGGGTTTGATCTTAACGAAAAGAATGGCTTTAACCACTAAGCTGACAATATGCATCTTAAAAATCATTAGTTGAAAATTAAAAAGAATAAACAGAAAAGGATCTTATCCATAGATACTTTGATACAATGTCCTAGAGTGAAAAATGGTTGTTATATGGAAGTCATTAAATTGTAATCTTGTAATGTACATTTCCACAAAGATTTTTCCACAAAGGTATACTATATATTTTGCATATTGCATGCTCTTTAATAATATTTGGTACTATTTGAACATTTTTAATATAAACCACATTTTCTTCAAAAAGTATTTCTTAGTCTTAGGACTTTTCCTCTGTGTAGAAGAGCATAGCCAGCCAACCGCATTCTCGTGGCTCTCAGGGCTCTCCACCTGCTGCAGGTTGTGAAAGAATCTCGAAGAGGAGCCCCACCTGAGATGATTCCATTTGCTGATTTACTTTCGCTGTGATTCGCCGTTAGAGCCGCTTTGCATCGCGGAAGTCGGTGGAAAAGGAGGAGTCGGAGGAGCTGCTGGGTAACCCCTTACCTTTTGGCCAAGGTCAACGGCACCTAACTGTCGAGTGTGGGTCTGCAGGTTAGGCTCGTTTAATTGCCACCGTTTGCCAAGCGTGTCTGCGTTAATATACTAATCACTAATTACTTACTTGGCACTATAAGCGTTGTGAAAGGCTCGTCCGCCTCCCGACCACTTGACCCTGGAATAACTGCGTCTCTATGGACAATGACTGGAAATCCATAGCCAAGCAAGGGCAGCCCTGTCCATCGAGCGTGACAACGCGCTCCTTAAATCACCATTTTTGACCAACATTACGAAAAATCTAGAGGCTCATACAATTTTAAAGCATTACTATTTTAGAAAGCTGCGTTATTTTAATTTAGATGTCTTCAAGTGAATCAGATAAGCAATATCCTTGAATAATTTTAACAGCACAACTCTGTTTATCCAAATAAAGATTACCTAAATATTTTTTCCGTTAAGATTTTTATAAGCTTTTAACATTTAAATAGCTAACAATCCACAAATACATTTATAACCCTAAGCCATTTTTATGGTACTTCCTTCCTATTAATGTTTGCTCGTACTAAAATTCATTGATACCTAGGTGAGACGGAAATACTTTTCCAAATAAAGTCTTAAGGTAAATTCTTTAAAGAACCTTGAAAATTTTTCTAAATAGGGAGTCTTTAAAAAGATCTGATCTTACGTTTCCTAAAATAGTATGAAGGACTTTACTAAAAACCAAAAGAATATATCCTCCAAAAACCCAAATCTCCCAAAATTATAAAGTCATTTCATAAGTTTTAGCATAATCATTTTTTATTGTGATTTTTTCTTCTGTTATATATATGTTTTTATCTTTTTTTGTCCCCCTTTCTCACACATTTTTGTTTCATACATACGCACGCGCATTTCCAACATAATCAGGCATACAATAGAAGATCATCTGGTGCCAAGGGGTTTAATACAGTACGTCCTACATGTCGATAAGCATACTCTTTACACACATAAATCCATACAAACTCAAACAGATCATTTTCAAGAGATTTCTCACTCAAATAAACATAAACTTTTTGCAAAACATACCGTAAAGTAATCGTGTGTGTGTGTGTGTTTTTGATTGTTAAATAAATAAAATGATTTTCTTAGCTACATTAACAAAATCGTTCCTGTTGCTTATATTATACGTTTTTTTTTGTCATTTTCCTTGTGTGTTTTTCTTATGGGTTTTTTTGCATATTCATTTTGAAAATTTTATTGCATTTTTTTTGGTATTTTTCATATAAGTTTTGAAATTGAAACGGCAAACGTTAAAACCTACGCATTTACACAGATAGTTAATTTTTTTTGTGGCTTTTGTTTTTCGTTTTTACACAATTAATTGTAAAGTTTAATTAATTAAACATATGTGTGTTTTTTTTTTGTAGCTGCTAGATTTTGATATTTGTGTGGCATTTTGTTTTGCGGTTTTCCTCGTTTCATCTGGGGGCTAAGTTAAAATACTAATTAAAATCGCGTCGCCTGCCATGATTGTAATGCTCCTCCGGCGGTTGGGCGTGGGAGGCGTGTGGGTGGTGGTGGTGTTGGTGCTGGGTGGCTTTTGGGTGGTGCGGGTGGTGCGCGCCTAGTAGCAGCACTTGCTGCGGTTGTTGTTGGCGCCGCTGACCAGCTTGCAGTGCTGCATCTCCGAGCGGCGCGGGCGGTTGGCCTTGGCCTGGAAGTCGCGCACCTTGTTGGCCCGCTTGATGGCACTGCGGCAGAGCTGCTGGTGCTGCTTCATGTTGTTGCTCTGCGGGTGAAATAAAGAGGATATTCGGATTAGGGGTAAGTCAACTCAAGAAAAGTAGGAAAATCTTGGGAACTATTCTTTGATGACTTTTGACGATTCTTTAACTGTCAAAATAAGTACGCTAAACATTTTTCATACAGATTTTTTTTCATGATCATCGTTTAGTTATAATATTTTAATTTCAGGGCTAGTAAATAATTATGTGGACAATAAATGTGATCTATAAATTCGAACTATTTTATAAAAACATTTTTGAGGATTTTTCTTTAGATCTTTTCTCTTTAAACAGGTAAAACAGATACCATCATACATTTATTTTTAAGAATTCAGTACTTTAAGCTATTTAAGACTTTTTAATTGATAAGAAATTATATTTTATTTCTATGTAAAAGCGACAATGTTACATTAAGTAATATTAGCATAAAGAGATTTTTGCATCGTCAAAAATGGAACCTGTATTTTCTTATCTCAGGGACAATGTTCCATATCCAAATCAGTTCATTGACACATATTAATTGTAGGTGGTGAGATATACTAATTGATTTTATTCAGAAAAGGAAAAAATATTTTTGATTGACTGCGAAACACACTAAATTTGCAGTTAATTAAAAAAAAATAGACAATCTTCATACCTATATCTTTAAATTCCAAAATTGAATAGTAATCTTGTTTAATAGAAATTATAAAAATATATCATCGAAATCAAATATTTGAAATACAAAATTATTCTTTTCTCATCTTAGAAATGGCGTAGTATAGTTAAAAAATCACCAAATGGATTATGGCGCATTACTAAAATATTTTCCCACTAAGATATATCCCCACACGATCTTTAGTAAGGATTCCTTACCTTCTGGCTCTGACGAGCCAGCGTCTGCTGCTTCAGCTGGGCGGCCGCATGGCGGTCGAAGCGAGCGTTGTGGGAGCGCTGCTCCTGGAGGGCCTGGCGCTGGTCCTGCGGCTCAGCCTCCGGCTCGGGATCCTCCCGCTGCTGCGGCACCTCCGCCGACACCCCGAGATCAAGATTAACAAAACTTTCGGTGCCCTCCTGGGTGGACCTAATACTACGATAAACGGACATGCTGTAATGCGAAAAAAGAGAAACCACTAGTTAAATAAAGATCACCAAATCATAAGGGGAACTAGTATTTTGCGTGCGATTTGGCTGTAAATTGTGGTATTTTTTTGTTGGATTGGGGTGGGTTTTTCGGGGGATTTTGGACTCGTATTGTGTACTATAAAGATCACCAACCTTGGATGCTCAATCAATAGATTCTCAAATGGTGATGTTTCCATATTGATTGGCCCAATCGAGGTGAAGCATGGTGGCGGTGTTACGTACCAGGACTCCTCCATCAGCACGTTAGCACCCTGGCCGAGACCTTGACCCTGACCCTGACTTTGACCCTGATCGCTGCCGCTTGGCGAGGCCACGTAGAGCGACTGGCTCAGGTTGTCAGGGTCCGCCGCTGATCCCTGGGCGGGCACACTTCTGGGCGGGCTGAGGGTGCTGATGCTCAGCGGACGGGCGACTCGCGAGCGTTGCAGATAGTTGCGCTGCTGCTGCGGCCTCGGTCCGCTGTACAGGGAATGCGAGTTGAGGTGCTGCCGCCGGCGGGACGAGGCCACTGGGCCATGGCCGGCGGCCGAGGAGCCGGCGGAGGCGGTGGCCCCGCCCCGCGCATGCGACACCTCCACCACGGAGAGCTCCTCCTCCGAGTCGCTGCGCGGCAGGGAGTCGTCCTCCTCGTCTGGAAAATAAATAGAGAAAATATAAATAACTTTACCAATTTAAAAAAAAAATTTTAAAATTATTACAATTGTTATTGGGAAAAAATCTGCACTTATCTTGAGCCCTTAACTCCTATTTGAAATGTGTATAGGGTTTTTGATGTACAACATTTTTATAATAGAAAATAATCTACTTATTTATTTAAGATCCGTTAAAAACAAGCAGATATTTAAGAAATTGATAAAATTATATAAATCTTTGCATAATTTTATACTTTTGAGCTCTTTTTACTTGTGATTAGATGTCGGATTTCATGTAAAAACATTTCCTAATTTTTCACTTATTCCTTGAATGATTAATATTATGATACTTGGCTATGACAACATAATTGAATAAGGATTAAATTAAATATAATTTATGAACTTATTTAGAGCCCATTAAATATCACTGAAAATCTGACATGACTCAAATTATTTTATAGAATAGAGTTTAGTTTATAAAACCTTACTTAAAGCTCTATATAGGCACACTGTTTATAATGGATACTTAAAGTTAAAAACTAAAATACATAATACGTTTTAAAATCCTTTGTAAAAATAGCATAACTCAAAATGTATCTCACACTTTAAAACCATAAAAACTTTATTATTATTTTACATATATAGTATGTATACTTTTTTCCTATTTATACTATTTTTTAGATAGGGGTCCTAACTCACCTTCCTTCTCCACAATGTACCATTCGTCCTCGTCGAAGTCCTCGTCGATGGTCTCGCCCGAGG